CCAGGAGAGGAACAATTGTGTGAGGTACCACACACCACTGATGAAGAAGTGCAAGATACCATACCACTGATGAGCAGCAATGGTGCAGAGATACCACACCACTATACCACAAAACTGATGAGGACCAATCGTGCAAGGTACCACACCACTGATGAGGACCAATGGTGCATGATACCTGTCTCTTATACACATCTGGGGGGGGGAGGGCGTTCACCCCCGCGCCCTCCCATGGATACGCCGCTGTAGGAGTGTCTGACACTACAGAAGTATGATAATATTTTGATTTATTTATTCTCAATAACTGTGGTTCATATATTTATTCACATTAACTGTATTAAGTTGAGTTGCACTTTTAAAAGTTAAAAATAATTTAATATACAAGCATTAAAATTGCTTATTATTAAAATTGTGAAATTTGGAATTGGAAGAAATACGGTATGATTGATTTTTTGTTTAACTACAACTTTATTTAGAGAGAAAGTACTTAAGTAACTACTGAGTACTACTACGAAAATCTCGGTTTCAAATCGATGGGAAATAGCGCAATAAAAAAATGTAGGTAATCGGTAATTATAAAGGGCTGATATTATGTTTTAATAAATGTCACGTGAGCGTGTTTTAAAGATGGTTGATGATGATTATTCAATTCAATTTTCAATTCAATTCAATATTTATTTGCTACAAAAGCTATCAATGGGCTATTATCCGCCAAACAAAAAACTCAACACCAATTATCAACATTTGCTATAGCCAATAAAAATATTCATTGTATGAAATAAAATCTATCATGATAAATTAATTCTAATTTTCTTTAAATGTAATAATAATTTAAAACACGTTTTATAGGACAATAACAATACTGATATCAAAGATGGAGTGTGATCCTGATAGTAAATGGGGGTGGGGGGTGTGATAGTCAAGGGGTAAGGGGGTCAATAAAGGGTCTTTGGCAGCTTGGTTAAACTCAAAACTACCGTGATATGCATGAACAATTTTGCTTTCAAGTCAATGAAATTGACTGAAAATGCACGTTCCATGCAAGGTCAGCCCATATAACTCGCAATGGTTATGGACCACGATGTACCTTGCGATTACCATTACTGCCATAGTTCAAGTCTCACTAATACCGTCGCAGTGAACCTGGTTTTCGTTGTTTTGTTTTTTTTTGTTCTTTCTTTTTCCCCCACTTCAATTGTTTCCACTTCATTAAAATTAATATTGGTTTTCCGTTGTTTTTTTTTTTTACTTTATACCTTTTAACGATTTTTCTTTTTGTTGCAATTCCAACTTCATTTCTCATTAAAGCAATGGGGAAAAGCCTTATGTTCTGTTGTTCAAACAGACATAGTAGGCCTAAGTGTAGTTTTTTTTGTTTTTTTTTAATTATAATTAGTACCGGTATAGTTTATCTAAATATTTTTCGTTTTACTGCTGCTTATTGTTATCCAGTGTGTATATTTTTATGCCTGGGTCTTATTTGAAAATGTTGTGTGTATTGTACCAAATATAACATTGCTCTGGGCACACTAACTATAACGATTGCGAAGCATAATGATTGTCTTCATCTTAATAAAACTGGATGGGGTCAGATGAAGAAATGGAGGAAGTAGCATCTACATTAATAATAATAATAAATATGGATTTATAGAGTTCGTAATGAAAGCCTCTATGTGCCCGTGACCTTTGTTTTGAGCTTTAAACACCTTTTGATAATTGTAAAATATACACAATTAAATTTAAATTATTCCCAGGAATGTAAATTTAATTTTTTATTCATATAATCTAAAAGGTAATTTTCTCAATAATAATCTTAATCTTTTGATTAAAATTGAATGGTCATGTTAATAGTCATGTTAATGGCCTGTCCTCAAATCATTTAAAATGTCAATAATTTTATCTCATGACTATAAAAGCTTTTTCCTTCCTAATTTTATTTCTGAATATAGACTATGGTTTATCGGACTACTTTTTACACAGATCAATGGGTACCGGTACATTGACTTTAATTCTAAACTTAGTGGGTTCTTAAATTAGTGTGTGACGCAGTTTCATTGAATTAAATACAAAACAGACCTTCATTGAGTCATTATTGTTCGAAATTCATTATCTTAAGCCACCGAATTGATGTAGAGGCCTATTTAGGCCTATTTACTTATCTTACTTTTAATTCATATTATGTTTTTGAATAAAACAAAACAATTAAAAAATAAACAGTCTTCTTTAAACTAACAATTTTAGAAAGATTAAATTAAATTAATTTATATTTTTTCCTTTCAAATGGGAATGAAAGAGAAATGATGAGGATTACTACTGATTAATAGATGATGTATATTCTAAGAAAATGTAAGCTATTATAAGAAACGCCATAAAAATCGTAATGTTTGCTGCCCTCTATACATTTTGATTATTGTTTTGATTGTCTGCTGCCCTCTATTATATAAAATGAAAGCAATGTGAACAACTAGCATTATATTTCGATATAATTTCTATATTTGTAAAAAAATAAATGCTTCAGATTTAACGTCAGCATGGTAAGTAATTAGTTAAGGATTTGAGACTAGTTAGTTTAGTGTATATAAAAATATAGGGCCAGAAAGCTACGCATGGGCATCTTAGGCCCCTGAATGAAAAAAGCCTCAAAAATGATACCTCCACCTGGGATGGCAGTGTTGACCTGGGACACGTGGTTTGGATTGAAGTATGAGTAGGCCTTCTTGGCTTAAACATGATTTCCATCGCTAAGTAATAAATGCGTGTTGAGTATTTAATTGGTGATTTGCATCATTTAATTGTCTACACTGCTGTTCATTTTGCATCCCCTCGGCCTCACACAGGGCCGCCAAGAGGAGAAACTGTACCGGGAAGGGTTGGCTGGTGTGGGCCCGCCAAAGGGGCAAACAGTTTTTTTGAGGGGGGGGGGGCTGTCAATCTGGAGGGGCCCATTATCAGGGGACCCATGCCATTATTGAGGGCCCATGAGAGTAATTATTATTTTAAAAAAAAAAATAGAAAAAAAAATGCTAGCCACCTCAGACAATGGGCCTCCGGGTAAGCTTAGGCCCCGGGGATCTTGCCCTTCCTCCTCTCGGTGGCCCTGGTCTCGCACATAATCATTGAGCTCCTCTACCACTTCACTTCAACCCATTATGCCAAAGAAGAGGAGGCAACATTTTAACATTCATTGTTCATGTTTTTGATCAAACTATGAGATCTTACAGAAAATATCCAAATTCAGGTGTTAACCTGTATACAGTACGGCACAGTTTGCAAGATTACCTCATTCTGCTCACAGCCTTTTGGAAATTTTAGTATCTATTCTTACAACACTGTTTACCGCTTTCATCCTGATATATGTCTTTGTGTATATTTTATAAATGTAAGTATGTTTGTTCGAAAAGTTTCTACATTTTTTTTAAATTTCATTATCATTCCAGGAGAGGAACAATTGTGTGAGGTACCACACATCACTGATGAGGAAGTGCAAGATACCATACCACTGATGAGGAGCAATGGTGCCAAGATTCCACACCTTTATACCACAAAACTGATGAGGACCAATCTTGCAAGATACCACTCCACTGATGAGGTGCAATGGTGCAAGATACCACACCACTGATGAGGTGCAATGGTGCAAGATACCACACTGCTATACCACAAAATTGATGAGGGCCAATCGTGCAAGGTACCAAACCACTGATGAGGACCAATGGTACATGATACCACACTACTGATGAGGACCAATCGTGTGAGGTACCACACCATGATGAGGACCAATGGTGAAAGATACCATACTACTCGTGAGGACCAATGGTGCAAGAGACCACACCACCGATAAGGACCATAGGTGCATGATACCACACCACTGATGATGATAAGCATTCGGTTTCCTCATAGCCTGAGTTGAGTCATTGAAATAAAAGTCTTAGAATGTAAATTGAAACTGAACATTTCTGGAAATCTGTAACCAAAACCTTTCAAAAACACAATGAAGATTTTAAAAATATTAAATATCTAATTATGTTAATTCTTTGCTTTTTTTTTTGGCATAAAACAATAATTGTAAACAAATTCTGAATAGTAGGAAATGTTCAATTCAATCGTCATTGTATGCTTGTTGTGAATTTTTTATTTCAGGGGAATTTTATTTACTATCAACAATATGAAAATGGAGAAAGTTGGTATAAATATAACATTATTTTTGGAAAATATTTCATTTTCATTGAGATAATTAGTAATTCAGAATTCTTGTTATGAAATTGATAGTTCCCTTAAAATTCATGTTGTGGCTTGATTTACATTCATTCAATTGAAATTAAATGTTTACTTCTGATATCCCTATGTTAAACAAACCTTGTGCTACACAATGTGTAAGATTCTTCTCCATTTTCATATGTTGTTAAAATCTAGATTAAGTGATGTTTTAAAGAAAGTGTTGATGATTAAATAGGTTTTAAATTTAAATTTGTAAATTTATCTGAAGCACTGTTAAATTTCTTATTCTAAATTGAATTTGGGAAAACTTTATATATATTATTTTCAAATTGATGTTTTTCTTTTGCTTAAATACAGTTCATCACTGTGCTTTATAATTTAGATAAAATAAACATCTAATTTGTGCAGTATACATTTTTAAATTGGTCAATTCAAAAATTCAACAAAACTTATTAATATATTGTTAACATTATGGTGCTTCCGATAGGTAGAATATTGTCTTTTGTTATAAAATGCATTGTATTTTATCTTACCAAATATGGAAAAGGAGAACACAATTTTTGTTTACATAATTAAATCATTTAATTTAAAAAAATATATATTTTTGTTTGGCCATACAAGTTATTTACCACAACAAATCTTGTGAAAATTTAAATAACCATTCTTATTGTATTTGGGGAAATATGAGTCTCCTTTTTCATGTTTTGATATATAATTTTTGCAAAGGTGTATGTATATCTATTGTTTATAAGTATAATATTTACTATATTTCGGAAAATGAAGACAAACTAATTACACTTGTTTTCAAAAATTTCTGGTAAGATCTTTAAACATTTGATCAAATATTTGTAGCAAGATTTGCCTAGGGTTAATCTCTGAATGATCAAAACATCCTTTAGGGGGAAATCTTAATAATCTTCTTTGTTTTTCCATAATTACATGTCACGATTTTACTACCAACATAAATTGTTTAAAGTTTAAATTCCCAAATGTTTTATTTTATTTGAAATTTATACACCTACATTGAAATTTTAAATTGTTTAAAATAATTCAAATTGGCTATGCTGCAAAATTTTACAAACAGCAAATTCAGTGTGTGCATTAATTATTGTGCTTTCAAGTAATTACATAATGTCTCCATTTTCCATGTCGTTTAGTTTAGCAAATCCTCATTAGCAAGGAACAAGACAGACATTTAAATTAATTTGATATCAAATTTCTGGTTATAATGATTTCACTTTCATTGGTTTTTGGTTTGCTTTTACAAAATTATTTTGTTTGCACTAGATATAAAATTGTAGTTATTAGCTGCAATTCCAAGAAGAAGTTCAAAACAGATTCAAATATTTTGGATGAATTATCCAACTAAATTTTAATCAATTAGAAAAAAAAATGAAATTAATAATCTTGAAAAATTTAGAAAAAAATTAATATCCTTCAAATTAAAATGTAATTGTTTTGGTTTTGCTGATGAGGTTCTTTTTTCTTCTCTTCCGTTAATTTCATATTGTCTCCATTTTCCGTGTTGTTTAGTTTAGCAAATCCTCATTAGCAAGGAACAAGACAGACATTTCATTAAAATTAATTTGATATCACTTTCATTGGTTTTTAGTTTTCTTTTACAAAATTATTTTGTTTGCACGAAACATAAAATTGTAGTTGTTTAGCTGCAATTCCAAGAAGAAGTTCAAAACTAATTCAAATATTTTGGATGAATTATCAAACTAAATTTTAATCAATTAGGAAAAAAAATGAAATTAATAATCTTGAAAAATTTAGAAAAAAATTAATATCCTTCAAATTAAAATGTAATTGTTTTGGTTTTGCTGATGAGGTTCTTTTTTCTTCTCTTCCAGTGTAAACAATGTTTTAAACAGTTTTTTTTTTTGTCTCACAAAAAATCTGGTTGAAGGGATTAATTATTTACATTTTTGAAGTTAAGAATTTAAAATAATAATTGTAACATTTTCAACCTAATATTATTGATGTAAATGATAATGTTGTTTTCTAACAATCAAAAGCCCCAAATTTCAATAACAATTATAAAAACCTAAAAATAATAATTATGAATATAAAAAGCTCAGTTGGATAAAATTATATAAAACATTTTAAACTATATTTTTTTATATAAAATAATAGTAATTGTTTGTATAAATTGCATTTGTGTAAACAAACAATGCTCAGAGTTGTTATTGTAATTAATGATTATCATTAAAATAACATTTGCCTTTAGTTTTACTTGAAATTGTTAATTCCAAAAATATAAACAATAATGAAAATAAATACTCTACTAAATGTAAAATTATATTGTTCATTCAAAAATTAAAAATTAAATGTAAATAGTATAAATAAGAATATTTCTAAATAATAATGAATATGAATAAAAATATAATATTAATGAATAATATAGACTTATCTAAATCTATGCTATGTATCATAAAGTAATGTAAATTAATCATAAAATAATATATAAAGTAAAAGAATAATATAAATCCCTTCTACTGATTTGAGACATTCATATTGTGATGTATGACCTTTTCTACCAAGATTTGTCATAAATTTTCATAATGAAATAGTCTTATTAGAAATACAAAATTGTGTTTACAATTATTTTTCTTTAGATGAAAGTCTCAAGGATGGAAAATATTTCTTTTATAAATTTTAACAAAATTCATAAAACAAAAAAAAATCTATTGTTTCCATCAAATTTTCAAAATTGTAAACCTAACATGTTTTTGGGAAAAACAATTTTTTTTTAATTAACACAATTAAAATGTGTGATTAAATGTAAAATAATTTCATTCTAAATTGTAGTATTATTGCATTTTGCTGTACAAATGTAAATGACTTTTGAGTAGGTGGTCATGCATCACATTTTTATTGTGTGCATCAAACTACAAATACTATAGTAAGTTAGTTTAATTAAATGAGAAAAAATGCATTACATTGTTGGGAAGAGTAGCAACTGAGTGGTACCACACGTCATCACCAACTTGCGATAGTGATGCAGATAATGTTGAGGAGGAGCTGTTAAAGATGGCACCCAATGACAGTGATGAAGAACCAGATGTTTGGAAAGATGGTGAGATTTTCTCTTTGTATATTTCACATTGACAAATCACTGATTTAGGTAGTGTAAACTGAGATTTAATGTACTGTGTACCGATAACAGGCAGTGTGGATTATTTAACGCGGTGCATATGTTTAAACTGCGGGCAGTGGGCGCATGCAAAATCAACCAGTTCTGCCTGTGGCCAAGATTCTTTTCGCCTTTGTGTTTTTTTAGCCTGTAGGTTATTTGCTTTATGCTTACTCTGTTAATACTTTAGTTTGTTCTTCATCTATGAACATGGGCAGTCCTTGTCGCTCATAAAGCAATTCCATGTTTTGTCTAAAATCTTGAATGTGGGGTCTTTTTGCCAGTGCAGACAGTTATTTTTGTGGAATGTGCCTGCAAGCAAAATTGCTGGCATTGCTTGAGATGTTACTGTATTTATTGTATTTTTTTATTAAAAAAATAACTTGTAAATTAGATTTGTGCAGATACTGTTTTTCTTCAGTTATGTAATTTTTTATAATTGTTTGTTTTTGCAGATCCACTGTCAATTCTCGAGTCGTCACTGTGATTGGTGAGGCAGCTGAAGTTCTTGTTGATAATCCTTCACCCGCATCCGTAACACGTGATAGACAACAACTGGTATCTTTGTAGATTAACAGTGATATTTTGTACACATTGTTAAAGTGGAATTTCAAATAGATGTGTAAATTATATATAAAAATTTCAAATTTTAATTGAATCCATTGATCAAATTTAAATTACATTAATTGTAAGCTGTTCCAACTTCCAATTCTTTTTTTAAACATTATGTTTAAATTCTAATTTTTAATTTCGAATCCAATACCAAATTAACAAGAATTCTAAATTTGTTTTTTCCTGTAATTATAAAATTAAATTGATATGAATTTTCTTTATTATTTGCAAAATTTTAATTGCTTTTATTCAAATTATTAAATTCATTTTGGAGAAACCTCTATTTTACTACTACTGTACCATGTAAATTGTTAAATCCAAAATCTGTTTTATGAAAAAAATAATTTTGAAATTCCACTTCCTTTTATCCAATTGTTATAATAATTTGTAGTTTGATGCATGCTATGGTTTTTTTTTCAGTATTCTCTCAAAAAGTTAAAACATTGTACAATGCACTTCTCCGCAACCTCCTGCACGCCCCATTACACCGACGGGCTGATCCTGCTTGGCTGCATGGCGATACTTGCTTCTTGTTGTGCTCGTTGCTGCTGCTGAGTGGTGAGTTTGCTTTGTTGAAATTCTGTAAAGTTCTTTTTACGAGTTACATTCCTTTGTAAATTGCTTTGTGGGTAAAATGTCTGTGAGAATCCTTTTCCTGACGTGGTGTCAGCTTGTGTGGGTAGACCATCATCAGTGTAAACGTTCGACCTGCTCAATGCCAAGGAGTTAACTAAAAATTATAGCTGGTTTCAGTTTGTGGTCTTTTTTCCCTAAAATAACATGTTATTTTCCTCTGGAGACATTTTAAGTGCATGCAGAAGAATATTGTTTTCCTTTTGGCGGTTAGGCAATATCTGCTAATATTTTTCGCTAAGTTTAGGAAAGTATGCCAGCTGGGCCAAGGTTGTACTTCTGTTGTCACGATGTGTATCTGAA